CAGGAAATGAGTTTCATCCAAAGCATTTTAGGACATGTAGTTAAATATCTGCTTCACCTGAAGTCCAAAATCGATACTGGGATTCATAAGTTCCTTAAATAAAAAGCTACGAAAAAGTCAGCATTGTGAGATAGGGTTTTCAACATTAAACAGTTTATTTAACAGTGGAATTCAGGAATGGATTGGTGTTGTTTTTTTTAAATATTAGGTTCAATTTTTATTTATTGGGATGTAGGGATATGAGAAGAGGTCTCAGTACAGTATGTCTTCTTGTAATTGTTCAAGCTAACAGAAAACAATATAAAAGTTTAAAACGTTAGAGGAAAAATCCAAGATATGTTTGTTTAAAGTTTATGTTTAAAAATGTTCCTGGGTATTATAATATTACTGGCTAAAGTTCACTACTGTGTGTGTATAAAATAAATCTTTTTTTAAAATCTGTCTTTTAAAGCCAGACTACACAAATCTGTAGATTTTTTTGTATTTTTTCCTAATGTTAACAATTATGGGATTTAAAAAATATTTTCAATGCAAAATGAAAGAGTTGCATTTTCCTATTTCCACACTTCCTGTTTATTTTTCCCTCTTCAAAGAGGCCTAAATTGGAAGAATTAAATATAAGAACTCAATGAAATTAAATGATTATGTAAAATAAATAAAAATGTAATAATCTGAGTTTAAAAGGGAAATTGAAACGGACATCCAGTCTAGAAATATTTGAAATCTTTTTTGTGTGCTGTCCTGCAGGACGTCTTTTGCTCTGGTTCCCGTCCTTGCTGCTTTATTAATATTATTATCCTTGTCCCCCTTCTCCTACCCAGACTCTGATTCAGGAATAGTTGCAATAATTTTAATTTTTTAGCATTAATTTGTTTTATCACCAGGAAAACTGGGGAATGAGTCCTTAGCACAGCTGACTGGCTGATAAATAGATCTCTTCTTGGAAGAATCAAATAGCTTCTGATACAGCTTATATCAAGTTTCAACTCACACTCTGCTATTGTGCAAAATACATGAGTGTATTTGATTTAGATGTACAAAATGATAAAACCACATATTTAAATCATCACTATTTTGCCTTTGTCTACACTTCCAATGTCCTTACAACATCCTCTGCCCCACACAGAATGGTGCTCATCCCAGCAAGATTTGATACCCTACTTTGAGGGTGATGAAGTGGAGATTCAACAACACCTGTTTTCAAGAACATATTTGCATCTGTTCAGAACACATGTTTTCCTGAACTTCCCTCTGTGCCATATCTAGTGCTGAGCGCTAACCTTATTACACATCAGCAGATACATGGAGAGGACCCCATCAGAAATCATGCTTTTCCTATTGAGAGTTCATTCTGCTGCTTTATTACTGCAATCTCTAAGAAAGTCACAATATTCTGTGCCATTGCAATTAGGATATGTTGGGTCTAACAAGAATGGCTTTTGACACCTACACTGGCTAGTTTGATTTTTCATATACATGTTTGAATTTTTCTTTGTTCTTTTCACCCATTGTTAACTGCTTTATGTGAACAGTGTTATCTTTTATTGTCTGGTCTACAGCTGTACAGCAAGCATGTAAATAAATAGGAAAATAGAAAACTCAAATGTTTTCAGTGCTTTCAACTTCCATAATGGACACTAGTGATTAAGCTATTGGATTAGTACCATGGAGATCCCAGAAATGGAAAATCATTGAGTGGCTTTAGGCCAGTCACTCTCTCAACCCAACCTACTTCACAAGCTCACTGTTGTGGGGATAAAATGAAAGGAGATCCCCATGTAAGCTGCTTTTAGTTCTTGGAGGAAAGACTGGATATAAATTTAACAAATCAATACAAATCTAAAATGTAGTATTTGGGTTTGGAACTTGAAAGTCATACTATAAATATAGTGAAATGAAGAAAATATTTCATGTCAATGTCTAAAAAAAAATAAATGTCACTTGATAATAGCTGATACAACAGTGTCTATAAGTTAAGATCAAGCCACTTCTGCATGTATTCCATTTCATTATCTGGTTTGCTGGTGTGCAGTGCAACTGGAATGGGTAATAAAATGGTTGGGTCTGTGAAGTTAATTGTAGCAGCAGTAATGAGCAAATGGCAGAAGATTATTTTGTATCAGTTTAAGATAAAAGAGTGGCATTTGTAATGGGAGGCTTTGCTTGAAGGAAAAACAAATAAGAGCTATGCCCCAGTGAGAACTCAGTAAAATTTCATTTTTGTCCCTGGCCCATCATAAATCATCTTCCAGTACAACATTTATTTGCACCCAGTTTTAATTACCTGAAATGGATGCCCTCCTCATTTTACAGAGCAATTTGGTTATTGGTCTCTGTGTCATGATTTTCAACCAGATAGCTACCTGAGATGATGGGTTGGATGGCAAAATCAAGAGGCTTCTGCTAAAAATATATCAGTCTACTTCATTAACCCTTATTGAGCAGATGGTAACTGTTTTCAGAATTATAGAGATCTGGCCTGAATTTCAGCTAATGATTTAGATGTGATGGGCTATCTGTTCCATTACCCATCTGCCAGTTATTCCATTGCCCAGCTGCTGAACTCATGAACCATGCAGCCAAGACAATAAAGCTTAGGAATTATAAGGTTTTTTTCCAGAATTTTCATACTATTCTAGCATAAAAGAATTACAAGGCCATAATCTCTACATGCTTGTTTGTAAATGAGCCCCATTGAACTCAGTAGGGCTTTCTCATGAATGTTCTGAAGGATTGCACAATTGGTTATCATCAATGATTATATGCTTATCTCAGATACTTTCAGCATTCATTCTTAATTATATCTGCCAACCAGGATTTGGACTTTTAACCTGAGAAATGATGAAATGCAGCTCAGGCAATGTATTACATCAACACAGACATTTTAATGTCCCAAAGGACAAATGGTGGTCTGCGGAAAAGGAGCAAATTAAAGAAATCAAATGACATGGTAAAGCAAACTGTTCTAATGTATTGATATGTATCTGTTTAAATATTTAGATTTTCTTGTGGAATTTACATAGGGAGCTGTATATTACATCAACTCATGGATTCAGAAATGCAGGGATGGGGCACAACTGCATTCACCATTCAGCATGTTGATAGTAACATCTGGAAGACTACAGATTCCCCATCACTGATTTAAAGGTTGGATTCACATACTGCACGTCTGAGTTAAGGGCTGTGCTTTTAAAAAAAAAAGTACCTGGAATGATCATATTGCTGATTTGTCTTTTGGTGTTAGTAGGAATAAGAGTTTTTTAAAAACAGCCATGTGTTCCAGTGACAAGGAAAAAATGAGAAAAATCAGTAAATTTTTGTGGAGATGTGATGTCAGGTTGAAGAAAGGAAATCATAAGGTAACTTACTTACTTCTTTTTTTTTGCACAAACATTGGAGAACATGTCACTGCAAATTAGTATTTTTTCCACCAAATTTTTCTGATGTTGTCTGGGGGCATTCTGGGAGGGGCAAAATAGGTGCATGGGGGTTACATGGGCTGCCTCTCTCTGCAAATCCATACAGTGGTTTGCTTGTGGCTTAGGGGATGCGTGGACCAATAATTTAACTGTCTTAGTCAGTCCTAAAGGCTTATAATGCAATATGCAAAGACCATCACTTGAAGTGTTTTGTCTTTCCTAACTCCAGTGATAGCAACAAATGGAGCCATGATGTTCTACATACAAAATACATGTTTATCAGAAAGGTATATTTTCTGTTTTTCGTGAGTTAAAAACATATTTGAAGTTCCTACTATCTTTGACATGAGCCTCAGTCACCCAACAAGCAAACAAGGGATATTGAATGTATGGACAGGCCAAGTGAAATTATGGCAATGCATTCTGGCCTGCTTCTTTTCTCTGGGCCATGTCTATACCAGTATATGCTAAGTCAGCCTTTCCCATCCTCAGGCCCTCTAGGTGTGTTACTACAGTTATGTCAGGTGGAGATAATGGAAGTTAGGATGCACTGGAAGGTAACCAGGGGAGGAAAGTCTGACAAAAATGTAGCTATGACTTGTTTACCTTTGCTTGATTGAATAAACCATAAGAAGATAGGTTCACACAACCCATTCAACAAATAATAGTTTACTCACTACAATAGCTGGATTTGCATAATATGCTAAACTAAAACTGAACACATAATGTTGTTGTTTAGCGTTAGGATTTTGCATGTTCTATTATTATCCAGCTTGCTGAGATTTAGTAGATGAAATGAAACAACAAAGAAATTAGAAGAAACTTGGAAGAGCTGGTTTTAAAAACGAGAAGGCAATAGCAGCCACTGTGTGGCCACTGATAGTCTATCCAGTTGTAGCCTTCCTAGTTTTCTTGGCCTTCGGTAATTATTGCAAAATTGCTGGTATTTATAAAATCTCAGGAGAGATCAGAATAGGGCTATAGCCATGTGGACAGTGTCTTAGTATATTGATTGATCAACAAATGCATGCACATTTATAAATATAATATTCTAAATTGCCAATGAAAGAAATGGACTATCTAGATTTTTTCCCCAATGGGTGGAAACACTTAGCAGGGCTGGAGAGTCTATTGATAAGACCTGCTATCTCAATCTCTCCTACTTGCATTTCTGCTGTCTTGGGCGGGTCTTTAGCATCCCTCCCCACCAGCTGTTCAATGGGAGAAGCACCAACCATGGCAACCATCTAGCATTCTACAGCACCATCTGTCCCCATTATCCTTAGGATATTTACTTTCAGGGTAGGGAAGTAAAAAAGCCACTAAGTGAGGCAGCAACAAAGCCACCAGGATAACCAGAACTAAGGAAGGAAGGAAGGACAGTGAATGCCCTGGTGCCTTGGCTTCTGGAGGGAATGGGAGAAACCTAGGAGTTCTTGCCAAAGGATTTTTGTATCTCTTCCTCAGAGGGAGGAAGAACGAAACTTGTGAAAATGAATGCTCCTATTTACCTCCCTTCATACGGATCAAATTCCACGATTAGTCCTGGCTTTGTTAAACTACCAGATCTGGACGGCCAAAATCCGGATGCAGATACAAAGAAAGCTTTGCTACCGCCTAGCGGTCATCCGAATTCCTGCATCCCAATCTGCTATGAAAAGAGGTATTCTGAACGGGCGCTTTCTAGGACCCAGCAGAGACGTCGGCAAAGAGCACGTGACTGATCGGCGGTGGTCTTCCGACTCCGGCAGCCCCACCTTGGGGATCGTCATGAGCTTGGAAGCGCTTCGGTACCGCAGGGGGTCCCTGCAGATTCTCAACCAGCTTCTGCTGCCTCATCAGAGCCTCTATGAGGAAATAAGCAGCGTTCGCCAGGGCTGGGAGGCCATTCGGTCTATGAAGGTGCTGCCATGGGGGTGGGACAGGCCAACAGTTGCCGAGTTCAGCTGAAGCAGGTTGGACTGCCACGTGTTGCGTCTGCTTCGTTAGGGACCACAGGAATTGCGTGGCACCGCCTTCGTAGCATAGAGGGGCGGTGGTGTGGGAATGTCTTTGGAGAGTCCCTCAGGCTCTGAGAATTGAGCTGCGGATGACCCGTTCTTGAGCATTTAAAAGTATCCTGCAGAGCTAAGAGTAACATGAGAGGATATAACAGAGGTTTCAGGCCAAAGACAAACTTTCATGGATTGGGTTCACACCAGGAAGGCAAGGTGGTTTTTAACTATGTTGACTGAATCACAATTGGATGGGTTCACAGAATATGGTGAGCAAAAGCCATATTTTCAGCCATAAACATGCTAATCCAAAGTGAACAACCCATGTTTGGGCTTAATGTGACATGCAATTAACTCTGTTTGCACAAAGATACTTAGTCCAAGAGTAACATTGAGGGTATATAACAGGGATTTCAGGCCAAAGACAAACATTCATGGGTTGGGTTCACACCAGAAAGGCAACTATGTTGAATCAATCACAACTGGCTGGTATGATGAGCCAAAACCATATTTTCGGCCATAAGGGCAGTCTATGCAAAGCATGCTAATTCAAAGTGAACAACATGTTTTGGGTTTAATATGACATGCAGTTACTGTAACTCTGTTTGCACAGGGATACTTAGTATTGTCTTACCCCATATTCAACCCACACCTTTCAGTCCATGACATACTATCCTGCATATTAATCATACACCTGGGGTACCAAATCTGAGCTGCAAAAATCCCAACAACCAGTAGTAGTAGCAAAACTAACATTACGATGCCATCTGGTGATCAGAGTTGCGCAAGCCCAAATCTGATAGGCCTACATACAAACAAGATTCGCATACCACACTAGGATAAAATATGGTAGACTGGATTGTGGTTTATGTTTTGTGCAAATTGAGCCACTGTGTAGAGGCCATTTGAGCCACAGAGTCAACCTGCTTAATGCAGAAATCCAAATTAAAGTATCTCCTACGCATAACATAGCCTTCTCATGATTATTTCCATCAAGAGGAATATACCACTTTCTTGGATAATTAGTTCCACTGTCATGGATGTACTTGTTGGGAAGTGTTTTCAAAATTCAATCTGAATCTGCTTTTCCTAAAACTTAAGTATGTTATTTTGTGACTTGCAATCTGGAACGATGGCCAACAGGTCTTGAACTTCTTAGGTGTGACCTACTTTCAGTGTTTGAAAGGTATCAGTTTATTCTTATGGCTAAATATTCTGGACTTCATTTTTTGTCATCTTTATTTGAATCTGATCCAGTTTGTCTAATTTTTTTAAAGTTTGGTGGATATCATTCTTCTGATAGGATCTGAGTAATGCAAAATAAATTTGAAATTTGGGGGGTTAGGAAATTATATTTCAGTGTAACCGAAAATTGCACTGAGAGAAATATAATTTCTCTGCTGATTATATTTAGTTTGCAGTTGACTACTATTCCAATATCTCTTTCACAGGTACCATTACTAAGCTATATATCCCTCATCCTATACCTGTGCATTTGATTCTTATTTCTTAAATGATATTATGTTATGCCCCAATATACAGGGATTTACATGACTTCCACCCCACCTCTGGGGGAGGGGTTTTTTCTCTATTTTTACACCATGTATACCCTGTGTAATGATTTCAGTTACATTGACCACCAGGGGCAGTACAAAGCTAGTTAATTTAAGTGACTAACTCGTATGTTAAATTCCATTACAGGTAGTCCTTGCTTACCAACCATTTGTTCAGCAAACATTCAAAGTTATGATGGTGCTGAAAAAGGACACTTACAGTCCTCAAAGTTCTGACCATCACAGCACTCTCACAGTCACGTGATCGCGATCTGGCACTTGGCGACTGGCTCACACTTATAACAATTGCAGTGTCTTGCAGTTACGTGATCACCATTTGCAATCATCCCTGCCAGTTTCCCACGAGCAAAGTCAACCTGATACAGGTTGCCCTCTGCCCTTCCCCCATAAATACTAAGGAGGCTGTTTTCTGTACTTGCTGAAGTTTCTATCTTCGAAAGCAATCCTACACAGAGTGTCTTCTCTTCTATTGGAACCTACATAGAATGCGCTACTGTCTAATTTACATCTTGGTAGCCTTATACTGATTGATGGGTACCAATGTGGTTGTAATCACCTACCTTGATCTGTATGAGGCTTCCCATCCTATCTGATTTTTATTTTGTTGCAGATTCTTTTAATTAAAAAAAATATTAAATGGGAAACTCTCAAAGCAGCAGTCTTTAGCATCCTTTATCCATTTGCCTCATTGGAAAATTTTTGAATAGTGGATTGCTGAAGCCCACTGCCTTATTTAAAAGTATCCCCACCTATGTGAGGAAAAAAAATGAAATGTAAGCTACAACCCTAAGGTAATGCAAAGCGAGCATGCTGGGGGACTGAAGAGATGACCAGCAAGTTCACCCATTTGCCTTCTGGCAAATGGAAGTTTTGTGGTACTCATTTTATGAATAGTCAAGCCTGCCCTTGGCCAGCCATTTTGTGAGAGCAGCCACAAGGTGTTATTAACACCCTAAATATGCTCACTACCTCCCAAGGTCCAGTCTTCTCTACCTGATTCTATTTGTGTTGAATATAAAGAATCCTCACTTTCTATGTGTGTTGCTTTAAACTGAAATAGATGTCTCTTCTCTTAGGTGCGAGGTGCTCCAGCCATTGCCATTATAGGTTGTCTGAGTTTGGCAGTGGAGTTGCATAATAAAGGAAATGAAGAACTGAGTTTGGGCAACCTTGAGATTTTCGTGTTGGATTCACTGAGCTACTTAATAAGTGCCAGACCTACTGCTGTCAACATGGCCCGGGCAGCTCGGGACCTGGGACACTTTGTCCATCAGGAGGCAAAGCATGAAGGGACTACTCCAGAGAGGTTACGAGAAAGGTGAGGGTTCAAGAGCCTATCTTCTTTCTGTCCCAAAACTATAAGCAAGAAACATGCAAGTCTGTGTAACCTCTTATTGTAGTGTGATCCACTGGGCGGAAATGTTGCTGCAGAAAGACCTGGAAGACAACAAAAACATTGGGGAACATGGAGCTTGCCATCTCTTGCAGCGAGTAGGGCAGGGCAAAGTGAGAGTCCTGACTCACTGCAATACTGGCTCATTGGCCACTGCTGGTTATGGCACTGCACTTGGTAAGTGGCATCTCTCTGCATTCAAGAAACATTACCATCAAGTGCAAAATATTTCAAACTGCTGGGCACCCTTCCAAGCAATTCTATCTGCATCCAAAGTCTCTGATGTTTTATCTAGTTGCTCATTATTTCTGTCCTTTGTGACAAAGGAAAGGGTAGGAATTATGGTAATATATCTGAAAACATGAGATGTCACCCCTTATAACAGCTTTCCCCAGTGTAGTGCATTCCAAAGGCCTTAGGATTACAGCTCCCAACATCTGAAGGAAGAATCCAAGTTAGAAAAGCTTGCTTTGTACCTTGACATCTTGTAGTCTTTTATATGGTCTGTTATTTTGTCTGTGTTTGTAATGTTGCTTCATAGGTATCATTCGCTCGTTACATGCCATGGGTCGTCTGGAGCACGTTTACTGTACAGAGACACGGCCATACAATCAGGGGGCCCGGCTGACTGCTTATGAATTAGTGTATGAGCAGGTGCCTTCAACACTCATTGCTGATAGCATGGCCTCCCTGGCAATGAAGGAAAAAAAGATATCAGGTAGTTGTCTTATACCTTCTTTTTCTGCATGGCTGCTGCCCTATCTAGATTTCATGCTAGGAAATTACTGTGTGCATGTGAATCAACGCTGTCCAAGAGGCCAAGTAGTTAGGGAAGATGCTGTGCAGGTCACCTATCAACTCTGATGTCTTGGGATAGGATATTCTATTTAGTTGAATAATAAACAAATCTGACTACCACTTCAAGCTTAATTCCAGCCTGCAGAGTTCCTTGGTTGAATTGGCAGCAGTAATCATACAAACATGCAAAGGGGAGTCTTGTTGGAAGGAAGGACGTGTGGCTGAACTGAACTCAGAGTTGAAAGCAATGCTTGTTATGTAGCGAGTGTCTGGTTGAATCTCTAATCTTCACTTAAAAGGATTTCAGTTGGAAGGGCAAGGAAGACCATACCTGGAATCCTGGGAGAGCTGCTATTAATCTGAATATAAAAGTATATGGCTTGGTTCAGTGTAAGGCATATTTCTGTTTTCTACGTGCTGATCCCTGATTACATTTTCTTATTTAATAACCTAGTACATGCAACATGCCAAGCCATCATCTGATTTGCTAAGTTTTAGCATATGTATTGTGTGAACCCAGCCAATAGTGATTTAATCAACAAGCCATAGTTAAACCATGGCTTAGTGTAATGTTTGAACCCAGTTTAACTGGAATTTCTATCGTCCCAATAAACTCTAGGAGAGTGGAAAATGAATGGCCCAGAGAACAAGAGAAATAAAGAATTGTTTCCTCTCTTCTACCCAGAGGAAATTTTAAAAACATATTATGGGAGCATCTACCAGATTCTGGACAGAGCAGAGTGGGCACGCAGTTCACACTAGGGTAATTTGGTAAAAAAACACAGCAAGCTTTCCTCTAGTTTCCCCTTGTTCTGCATTGTTGACTGTTAGTCAAACTTGGGACATATGACTTCTAGCCTTAGGCTTTTAATTGCTGTTGTCCTTCTTTTTGTAATCCAGCTGTCATTGTGGGAGCAGACAGGGTTGTTGCTAATGGAGACACGGCCAATAAAGTGGGTACTTATCAGCTGGCTATTGCTGCAAGATACCATGGGATTCCCTTCTATGTGGCAGCACCCAGCACTTCCTGTGACCTGAATTTAGAACATGGAGGGCAGATCATTATTGAGGAGCGGCCAACCCAGGAACTGACAGACATCAATGGTGTACGAATTGCAGCACCAGGTACCAAAACATTGGAAGGTTGTGTGGAAAGAAAAGAGACATATGGTAGAATAGTAACATTTTCAGTACTATTTGTAATCAGTGATTTAACAGCAGCTGCCCAGCGTACATAAATCTATATGATGTATATATTTAGAATAAGTTGTCATAGATCAAGAAAATGTATCCTGACTTGAATCTCCTTGGATACATGACAGTCTAGTAAGCTATCATCTACTTCTTTTTGAAGAATGACAATTATGGAAATTTAGCCCAAAGTTTCTTGAAGGACATCAAGTTGCTTACCACTGTCTGATGTAATATTTTCTTTTAACCTTGAAGAACGTAGATATCCTCCTTGAGTGGTTCTGCATCTTCTCTTTTTGTTTGTCTCCCATCTTTTTAAAACTGAGCCATAACACTTACCATTAATGAAAGAAATAGAATGTGGGGAGTTGATCTAGCTGAGTTGGTGGACTAGATATCTGCTTTACAACACTAATGGAACAACATATATACTTTCTTTCTTCCCAGGCATTGGTGTTTGGAATCCAGCCTTTGATGTCACTCCTCATGAATTGATAACTGGTGGCATTGTCACTGAGTTTGGGGTCTTTCCTCCTGCTGAACTTCAGGCAGCACTGACACGGGCAGTGAATAAAGTGTAAAGAACCTGAGTTAAGCTGTTTCTGAATAGGGTGTGAATCCAATCTTCAGCAATTTTTACTAGAGCAACTTTCCCTAACCTGGCATCTTTCCAGATGTTTTGGACTCAAATTTTCAGAGTTCTGTACAACTGGAAATTGTAGTCCCAATAGCTCTGAACGCCATTTGGTTTGGGAAAGTTGTACTAGAAAGGTCAGCATTTGGATCTGATGGGAATGCTTTGTATTACTGCAATTTGTTACTGAATGCTCATTTTCAAACTAAAAGTGGGGATTTATGTGTGCAGACAGTGCTCATTATCCATGCAACTTAGATAACAAAATAACCTAGATAAGATTTTTTTTTTTTTTTTGCAAAAAGGAAGCTGTGATTGTCCTACTTCCATCAAAGCAAATTAAATAATGTGGGAAGCTTGCTTCTTGAATGTGGTCTATATTGGGGGTTTCCACTCTGGCTTTGGGGGGGGGGTTTGCTTGGTTTTGGAGTTTCTGAATCACGCTATAGCATAAAATTTTTCTTCAGTATCAAGTGATATTTGGTGATACACGTGTAGTATAATTATATTTCTTTATCTGAATCATTTTTGTTCATTTGTTGTTTAGCCTTCTTCATTGACATTCTGCTGTATATTCCTGTTAATGCACCATTTTCCAAACTGTTCTTAAGGTCCATTGGTGTTGTATCTCACATGATTTTAATCTTATGACAACAGGTTCTCTGTACCAGTGCCTTCCAGTGTAGGAGTTTTGTACCAGGAAATCTTTGCAATACATTTTATGTAAATCTAATGTTGACATAAATAAAAGTATGACCTATTAGTGATCCCTCTATTGTGGAAGAGGGATGAAAATTCAGAGATGATAGCTTGACTTAAGGTTCATGGCAGAGGTGAGCATTGGCTTACTTCTGCCTTACTTTCAGTGGGTTAACTATTTTGGATCAATGCATATGGAAAATATTAGCTGTGAGTGCTTGCCATGAAATTTAAGTTCCTTCTTGACTACTTCAGATTTGCAAGCTCATTCTTTATAACAAGATTTTTTCATTTTCTGTTCTTTAGGCAAACATTCATTCCTCACAATAGGCCATGTACTTCCCATTACTTTCCATAAGTGTAAGAGGGAGCTTCCACTACTGTACTATTTAGAAATGAGATTTGGGTGCAGCAGGAGAAAGATAAAAGTTGAATTCAGAGGAATGGGATACTTAAGAAGTTTCTATAGTAACAAATAAAAATTAAAAACAGAGGATGTGTGGGGTTCTGTACAGATATGGGCCATTTTAATTGGACAGAAAGAATACAATAATAGCCCATGCTCATTAAATCTGTTTTTAAAGCATTTAAATTTTCTATGGCTTCAGAATCTATTTAGGGAGTTTTAAATTTGCAGCTAATAGTTCTACAAAAGTATAGGTCAAAGGAATCTAAATTTAACCTACTGGAAAAAAAATAGGCTATGCTAGCTTTGATTGACTATAATTTTCAGCAGCTGCAGATCTAACCCTATTTAAAAAAATTGCTGCATCAATTAAATGAACTGAATTTGAAGTTATGACTGCTGTAGCAGAGCTGTTCACTACCTTTGTAAATGTTCTGTACAGTTTGGTTGCATTTGACTGACCCTAATGATTTTTTGTTTCACCAATTCACAGATGGGTTCTTGATGCACTGTGTTCATGAAAAGTCCTAATGTGAAAATTTGCTTAAGGTCAGGGTAATTTAAATAGCCTGTCAAGAGAAGCTTTTAGAAAACCCAGTGTGTGACTATAATCTGCAAGAATTCTCATTAGGTATGCCTTATATTAAGGCATTGATTTTGGCTCTGTTCCATCAGGTGGAAAGTACCTCTTTCATCAGTGCGGATGGTGGGTGCATTAAAAATAATTTCTCTCTCTGGCTGTTGTAATGCCTATTTAATGTTCTTGTTGGAAAGGTTAAAACCAATTGTTGTTGTGATTTTTTCCTATTGGCATTTCCGTTGTGTATTATGGGTCAAACAGCAGTCACAAAAATGTTCATTGCAGCGTGCTGATCTTGTTATAACTGTGTATGAAGAGCAAGTTAACAAATAATTTACTCACTAAAATGAATAGCCTAGATTTAGGTTATTGTAATGGCTTTGTAACATGTGTTGCCATATGTATCATTTCTGATCCACATGGAAATAAATTAACCTTTATTCCTACTATTGCCCATTACTGCTTTTAACAACAACAAAAGCCATGTGGTTTTTAATTGCTAGAAGGGGCAGGGGGTGGACTTCAAACTTTTGGTTTCAAACTTGGTCTTTGTGGTTCGTAAATTACGTACTTTGGTTTAGCATGATGGGTGAACCTGTACTTATGTAAACCTGTAATCTTTTGCAAGCATAATTTAAAAGCAGCTGCATATTTTCCCCTCCCTTTTTCTGTATTTCTAATCTTCATAATCTGTGAACAGTAGAAGTAAAAAATATTGAAAGTCATCTCACAGCTTTATAAAGACTTAATTTAATTTGTACAAAATCCATATTATCTTTTAGATAATGTACTTTTGATTACCTTCTTTTCTTGTATAGTTTGGAGCCATGGATACTTCAAATGAGAAAACATTTCTTGTATTTGTTTGATTAAAGTCATATCTTCTTTAAAAATAACCTATCTGCTTTGTACTTTCATCCCTGGATCTAAAACTATGTGTTTTTTGGCACTAGGTGGCATCTGAACTCTGTCCATTGTTTTAAAATGATTTCTGCAGGAGGAAGAATAAAATAGTTCGCTATTCTTTATTTTTATTTGGACTCACTTTTAAGTCATTCTGATAACTTGGTAAGCCTGATTCATTTTATTATTTATTTGTTATTCATTTCCTGTCACTATTCTTTCTACAGCTTTCTTTTTGGGGAGGGGGGCAGGTCATTAAATTTGATTAGAATTTTGCTTTTGTCTTATCCTACCCTCACACACTGCTTGAACTGCAGTTTGTTTAATACTTAAAACTTCATTTCTTTCACGCAATTCCTGATCATTAATGTTAATTACAATTCAGAGTTACCCAACAAGGCACCAAGACAATGCTAATGAGTCTTTAGACAGATCCTTTGCTGCTAGGTACATTCTTTGCCCCAATTCATTTTAAAAGTTATTTTTATAAAAATAAAGGGAAAGCTAGAAAATGACCAGTCTCAGGCATAAGAGTATGATTCAAGATGCTGGTTATCATCTATAAAGGCTTACATGGCATAGACTGGATATTTGCAGGACCACCTTTCTCCTACTGTTTCTCCTTGGCCCACCAGACTTAGCAGAGAGAGCATGCTTTGGGTTTTTCCCTTCGAATAGGGGTGTTGGTTGTATAAATATGCTAAATAAATAAAAAAAATTATGTGTCAGATTCTGATGCATCCTCTTTTTTGATCTTGTTTCTATTGATGTTTAATTGTTTTTAAATGGTTTTGGAGAATGTTTTGTTAGTTTTATTGTACGCTGCCCAGAGTCACATTTGTGAGATGGGCAGCCATATAAATTTGATAAATAAACAAATCTTCTTGTACCCAGAAGTTGTGCCTTCTGTGTGGCAGTATCTGCTTGATGGAACAGCGTTTCTCTGGAAGTCACAACCCCGTTAGCCTTTTGAACAGCCAGGCTTTGAAAACCTGGGTGTTTCCCAAGGCATTTGGGCCAGAATATGAGCAAGCTGTGCTGCTGATATGGTTTTGATGATTTGGGCTTTGTTTTAATTTTGGGTGTCATAGGTTATGTAGTGTAGTTGTTGTTTTAATCCTTGTACACTGCCCACAATCATGGTTGTGAGATGGGCAACCATATAAATAATTTAAATAAAATAAGCAAATAATCAATTTGCATTTTCAAAACAGATCCAGCAGTATTTTTCCAGAATAAGATAGTGGAGGATGACAATAGGCTGAACCAGTAAAGAGCACTGGAGGGAAGGGTTAGAGAGAATGGAGAGCAGCAACCTCAGTTTGCTGTCCCAGTAGAAGGCAATGACAAACAGTTCCCACACTGTTGATAGAAGGCTGCATCTGTTGATAGAAGGATATTCATATAGTCATCAGTTGAACTTGGCTAGAAGGAGAACTTGGCTACATTGTTTGGCAGCCATTTTATGATATTATCCCTAACATGAAAATTCCACTGGCCCAAATAGGTGAAAGGCTCCTGATTTAAGATTTTGGAATAATGCATAGCTCTAGTTAATAATAGAAGTTCATGTTTTCAATCCCCTTAAGGCAATGTCAAAGGAAGACAGAGGGATCTGTTGCCTTGAGGCTTGTTCTCATAATGGTAAATTACAGTTTTTCATGATAGATGAGCAGAACCATTTTTTTTCATTAAACTCCCAAGAAGTTTAAGTTTATGACAAGAGTTGGTGCAAGTTGAGCACTCTTAGTTGAAGCCATAGAAGAGGACAAAGAATCAATCATAGATTCCTACTTGTTTTTAATAGAACTATATTTCACTCTTAATATTGTCCGCAAAGGAAAGCTTGTTTTAACCTGATGTTATAACATATTTGGTTCAACCATTTTCTGAACACCTTCTAGAATCATTATAGCCTTTTGAAGTAGCTGATCTTTGCTAATTTTTACTGAGTGGGTGACAATTCTGTAGAATCATATCGGCAAGATTTTTTTTTTACTGGCGAATATTTAGCACATCTTTAGATTTTAACATTTCTTTAACAATGTATAATAAAAGTTCAGCTCTCTTGTTAATTTTCTGTTAGATTGCTTGTCTTTATCTCTGAGCAGTGTAGGTGTATGCCAAATTATCTTGTCTCCAATTGTTTTAAATAGAACATGATTAAAACAGGAATGAATTTCAAATAATTAAAGAAAAATATTCCCTGCGTATAAAATATACCTGCAGTCAGTACCTGAGGATTAACTATAGTCTATACAGTAATCAGAAATGGTTGAAAGCAAAAGTTCATTAAAATATCTTTTTTATGTCTGAAAGACAATTTACAATTGTTCATCGTTCATGTTCACTAGTTAAGAGAACAGAGTAACATAAAACTTTTTGTGTGGATGTGCTGCTCGTTCTTTAAAAGGCAGCCCAATGGGCAACAGTAGGTATGAGAAAGAGGTCTGTGAAAAGACAAGATACAGATCCGTGGGGCGGGAGAGGCAAAATAAAAAGCTGAATCGGGACAGAATCAGGAAAGACTAAATGATTTGATCATACCAAGAAACGAAAACCAAGCAAGTGTTGGAATAAACGTGTATCTAAGGAGCATATCTTGGTAGCAGAACAGCAGTGAAAACCAGAGGAGAAGCCATATGAGAGATCTGGATGGCAGAAACAGTGGGGTGAAGCGCAATAAAAGAAAACAATTATGTAAGCCTAATTAAGGCTACTTAGAAAAACCACTAAGTTCAATAGGGATTGCTAGAAGGTCAATGGGTATATCAGGAGACATTGTCTTTTTGACACCATGGACTGCCCTTTTTTAATTACTGTTTTTAACTGCCAAGGGCCAAGTTGGGTAGTATTGCTATAGTGTTAGAGTAGAGAGGACTGGAATCTTTGACCTGCTTCCTCCTTAATTAAGGAGGCACGTTAAGCCTACTGGAGATTTAATTCAGCAATTTTATTTCTCCCTGAAATTCCTAGGAAATCATATTGCTATTTTCTTTTAGTGGCACAATGAGTTCTGGACTTGCCATAGGTTGCATGATAAGACAAGGAGTGACAAATTTGGGAGCAACAGAGTTGTAGTGCTGAATTTAGAATAAAAATGAATGTCAAAGAGATTGCAGAATAAGGTGAGGTTCAATTCTGAGTTTGGTGAAATGAACCTTTCATAATAAGGAAAATAGGAAACCTGCAGAATACAAAGGAGAGTTGAATAAATTAGGCATGTACAAGCTTTCTTGGACCAAGGATGACCCTTGGCTACAGAAAGGCATGCCAAGGCATACTCCCAAAAATATCTGAGATCAGAGAAAGGGTGGGCCAGGACAAAAATTAAATTTGATTTTAATAGTAGTTAAGGTAAAATTCAATACTTAGGCAGGAATCATATTAAAGGTATTTAATGATTTTCTTTTTCTTTCATATTAAATATTACATTTCACTGACTACTTGGAGAGACTACATGCAGCCTTGAGGCCAGAGGTTATGCACACCTGCTCTGTCAGGTCACATGACAGGTTTACTGCTTGTTTGGCATGTCTGTTTCATGTACACAAAAAGGTTTTCTTGGAAAGATATTTGGTGGTTGCATAACATGGCCAAGATAGACCTACACTTACAGGAAACATTTCCTTTCAATATTAGTACAAAAAAACCCTTTTACTATGTTTAGTAATTTCAAATTTGCTAATGCTTTCACATTCATTACTGGCAAACAGCAATATATGTTTTAGAGAGTGCAAGCTGTTATTTTAGGAAACAGGGATTCTGTGTGCTATTTTTATCATCTAACTACTAAGTTTATTTTCTGGGTATGTGTGCTGAATATTTCAGTTAGCATTTGCTTCTCCAAAAAACTAAAAATCTGACAACAATGAAATTATTTGCCATTTATATTTTCTGTTTTAAAATGTCAATTAAAAAGCCTGTCAGCCTTGGGAACTAACAAACAAGTTGCAATTGTTTGAGACTCATTAGCATCATGGTTGTTGCCCATGAAAAATCGACATGTAAATTTGGCTAGCTAAGATGGTAGTAATTGAATCATCATAGATGCATCAACTCATAAAGGTAGTCAATTAAGCAGCTAGCACTAGCTAGCTGACTTTGCTTCATCTCAAAAAAACTAAAAAAGGTCAAACCTGATTGTTACATGGACAGGAAAACACCTGGGGAACCAGTATAGAGTAGTGGTTAATATGTTGAGCTAGATCTGGGAGACCCAAGTTCAAGTCTACCCTCGGCCATGGAAACTCACTGGGTGACTTTGGGTCAGTCACTCATTCTTAGCCCAACTTACAGAATAGTTGAAATAAAATGGAGAGTTCAAAGTAAGCTGCCTTGTGCTCCTGGAGGAAAGGCAACATGTAAATTGAATGAATAAATAACATACAAAACAAAATCAAGAAATCTCAGAATTGTAGATTTAATAACCTATTTATTCAGAACACCTTTAATGGATAATTTTAGGATCAAAGGCAATTTAGGGCAAGTCTATAAAGTATAACAAAATGGAAATGTTTTAAATAAGTTTGTGTATTCACTCCAAGGAATGGTGACTACCCTCAAGTGTCATATAGTGAATAATGACAACTGCAACACTTTCAAGAGAGTATACCTGTGCTAGTCTTTAGTTAATGTACAGGTGTGTAATGGAGCAAGCTGTCCATTGGGTATAAGTCCCAAGCTGTGCAAGGTTTTATAATGCCAGTACAAGCATCCTAAACTTGACTTAGTATGATATAGCAGCCAATGCAAGTCCTCTAAAGCAAGAGTAATGTTCACTGTAGGTTATCCCTTCAGCACCCTAGGACAGCATTTTGTGCTAGCGCAGCTTCTGAACCAGTTTCAAAGGCAGCTTCCTGTAAAATGGATTGCAATAATCCATTCTTGAAGTTACCAACATTATGGCTAGGCTAATCCTGCCCAGGAACGGTTTGACAGGTAAACTAGCCAGAACTGAAAAAACATACTTGTGAGTGTATTGTCGAAGGCTTTCATGGCCAGAATACGATGGCTGGTGTGGGTCTTCCGGGCTGTGTGGCCGTGTTCTGGAAGTTTTGTTTCCAGGAAACAAAACTTCC